GATATTTTCTCAAGTGGATGGCTGCAGTAAGGCTACACGTTAAACTTTCTGAGTAATGTGATTAAACCCAGATTGGTGTAAATCTTTAGAATCCCATTACTGAATTCATTGTGCTTTTAGCATGGCCTGTGCCCCTGCCACAATCATAGCTAAGTGCAAAGTATCACACACTTAGTGCAACCTTGAAAATATAGCACAAAACCTGAAAAAATAGACATAAGAGCCAAGATAAGGGTAATTAAATGAGAGGATGTTACAGAGACAGTTCTGCTGTGGTTTGCTCTTTATTATTGCAATGAACCTGCCAACTTTTCCCTCAGTTTGAAATCAGCAGCTGACAGGCCACAAGTATAACCCCTATTAGGGATTATAAGGACCCCTATTAGGGATTATAAGGATCCCTATTAGGGATTATAGTACATGGAGGGGGGGAGGGGGAAGAATTTAAAAAAAGACCAGTGTCATACATATGTTTATACCCATTGCAAGCCTGAGTGGTAGATACACGTATATAAAAATAACAACAGAGTGCCGATATCTGATGTTTTTTGTGAGGCAGTTACATAATGCCACACCGCATGACGTTGTGGTTTTACATAAAATCTGTTACCAGAAAAGGCAGAGAACATCCCTTAGTTGCTTATGAAACTGGCCACTCTCCAGGTGACACTAGCCCACCTTTTTACCTTATGTCAGTCTAAGCAGAGTATGTTCCTCCCTATGGAATAGGCTTGCTTTAAGAAGGTGTTGTTTAAAACAAAGGGAAGCAGATCAACGACCTGTCCCATATGGCCTGTCAGTTCTTCTCTCTTCCTCCTCTCTGCCCCTCACTTGCCCTGGATATGCAGGCTAAAGAGTTTGAGACACTGTCAATTCCCTTTGCCTGTCTTTTGGTTGTCCACGTGGCTGCTTTGTGCATGGCTACCAGTGATCCCACCGTGGTTTCAGGAAAGATGAAGGCACAGGCACATACTGAATTATAGCCTAGCTGAGATACCATCTCTCAGCCTTCTGCCTGAAAATGGATTCTGTTTGTTTAATTTTAACTCATTGTGCCTTCCACTGTATTTTCCTTGCTTACAATTCATATCTATCTGGAAGAAGATATTCACCCTCTGCTTTCTTAGAGGTTATTGCTACAAAGAAGCCAATCTCATGTGTTCCCATATGACTTCTGTGACATTACTGATAGTTCTTTCTCTACTGACCTCCTATGTGCTTGGGCATCATCTTAATCGTGATCGTCTTGATTCCAAAGACTCCACTGTGCATCTCCTGCCATTTACAAACTTGAAAACTAAAAAAAAAAAAAAAAAAAAAAGAGAGCATCTTGCTGTTCACTTTTCGTTCCACTTTGTCAGACTTCAAGCCAGAAACTCAGCTACTAAACTCACTTGATATTTAACAATTTCTCTATACACGTTGACACCAGAAGTTGTCACAGCTCTGAGCAAAAAACCACAACAGCTGTCCTTGCCTACTGCATTAGGTACTCACAGCTGCTCCTAAAACAACAGCCAAAATAAAGGAAACATTAATAAAATTAGTATCATGTGGCTCAGAAGAGGCCACAATGAAAGCAAAGACCATTAAATATTCTGACTTTTCAGATGCGAAGGTGTGTTAAAGATAAAGAACACCTAAGGCTTGAGCAGATGAGTTAGGAGTTGGGAGTTTTGAATAAGAAGGCAGACCCACGCTGTACTGGGGCACAAGGCTGTCTAAATAGCCAGCTGTATGAAGGCCACCACTCCTGTGTCTGCCTCTGTTTCCATGCCAATAACTGGGTAAAATTATGCTGACATTTCTCTTGCTCAGTGTTTGCAAATCCTTCATGAAAAATTCCACAATGAAAACTTAAAATTATATATATAAATACTTCTATGTAAAGGTTCCATGATTACTAATCTACAGTTGCACGAGTAACATAGCACCTTTGAGACACAGACTGGGAATGCAACGGATTATAGCGCAGTAAAAGAACAGGCAGAAAAAGGAGATCCAAAGCTCACAGATTTTGTATGAAAAGTGCTATGGGATTCCTGTCCACATGGAGACTTAATGTTAGGTAACCACAGTAAACTGCATGGTATTCAGACTTCCTACAGTGCTTTAGAAATTACGGACAGTCAGCCCTCGGAGAAGTGAGGTCCATGACTCCAGAAATTCTAGATATTTCCGTCACAACCTCAGACCACTAAACTGTTCCTCCTGTCTTAAAACCAAGTTCTGCCTATGGCGAGATGCCATTCAATCCCACCGCGTCACTTAGAGGAAAGACAGTCCATGCTGGTATTGAACTTACACAAGTATGTGCCAGCATTTGTGAAGGTCAGACCTCCACAGTTAGTATTTGCCAGCCCCTGTGTTTCATACAAACACAGAAAGGAGTTAAAGAAAACAAACCACCTTGGACCTTTTTCCTGACAAATTTCCTAAGACTTTTAACAACTCCTCAGAACACAACTGAACTTTAGTCTATATACTTAGACCAGAGTGCTAGCTTTTTAGATTCTTAGATTGATTTAGAGATTATATTAATTTATTTCTTTGTAAAAAGAGATGTGTATCCGATTATTAATACTCTCTGGAAAATGTATGTAAGGATATAACATGTAAAACAACTGACACTATAAATATGCTCTGGGTATAGGTAGATCTTTACATGGCTGTGTGTAAATTAATGATTTGTGCTGTTCACTTTTCTCACAGAACAAATATTAGGTACATAAAAACAATATGCCAGTTCTCATGGAATGACAGAATGGTTTGGGTTGAAAAGGATCTTAAAGACCATCCAGTTCCAACCCACCTGCCATGGGCAGGGACACCTTCCACTAGACCAGGTTG